GGGAAGGCTGCTGTAAAGTTATAGATGTAAATACAACTGATCCCATGTAGCCGCTGTGGTGTAGTAGTTAAAGTGTTGGATTGGGATGTGAGACATCTGATTTCTAGTACCCACTCAGCCACAAAAGGCACTGGGGACTCTAACATACCTCGCAGGGATGTTGTTACAAGGATCAAATGAGGAATTGTGTAAGCAATTTCAGTTCCTTGCAAGAGGAAGAAATGTGTGTAAACCTAATATGTTGTTATCCCAATAGCCTGGGAGGGCTGGGAAGGATTAGTAGAACATGTATCCGGCATGTATTGTCCAGCTTTTTTTTACTGATTCATGTTCTACTAGATTGTATTATTCTATTATATGCCTGCTTTTGCATATGTTTCTAACATGTTATTATTGCATTTTAATTATTTACTTCTATTTTACTTTATCCCAATATGTGAGCACTCTAGAAGTTTCTTTTTTAATACTGAAAGCTGGTATACACACGTGTCAAGCAAATACATAAATAACACATTACATATTTTGAAAATGCAGTCTCTGGAATGAACATCAGCTAATTTTAGTGAACAACATTCCACTTTGCAGCTGTATTTGATGGTGGAGATACGCTACAAACATGACCTACACCCAGAAATGGAATAGTTTCCAAGACTGAGGTGAGATTCACTTCTTAGTAAACAGGCACAGAATTACATGGTAAAACATCTGTTTAGCTTCTGGATCCCAGCCTCTAAATCCACATCCTTCATTATACATCTGTAACAAAGATTAATTTAAGTCAAGGTGATTCTTAAAAAGAAAAATAACCACATGATGGTGCAATTCCCTTGAAGTATATATTGAAGGCTACAAGAAGGACGAACATGTAAGCTAACCCTATTTAATGCCATTGTATTCAAACAAGTTATTTAATTGCCTCTAGTACATTTTAAGAAGGTAAAAAATTGCAGTCATTATAAAAATTTCTATGTCATTCAGAATGTTATGTTAATGTGTGTTTTCTAAGGGACAGTGTTACATGAAGGAATTGGGAATGGATGAAAGAGAAAGGTGTGGTGTGGTGTGTTACTGAGAGAGAGATGTTATTGGGATAAAAAGCAGTGAACAAAGTAACTGCAAAAACATAAGCCCCGTGAGGCAGCAAGAGGCTTAAAGACCAGCAATGCCACTGAAATTCATTTTGAGTCAGGCAGTGACAGTGAAGGTCAGACAAGAAGCTTTTAAAGTCCCCATTTTTTCCCCAGCATGGATTAAAAATCGAGCTGAAGAATCAGCTTTCTGACCCTCTCTGGTACCACCAGACTACCCCAACTCAGCCTCCCCGCTTCCTTTCATCTCTTTTTGGAAGGAACAGTGGCAACCTGTAGAGACAGGGAAGGAGGGAGGGTTTGTCCTTTGTCCCTCTGCCCTCTCTGCCCTCTGTAACCTGGTGTTCTCTTGGGCTGCTGTACCATCTTGCTGCCAAGCTGCCCACCAGTATTCTGTCCCTCTAGCCACTGATTCATGGGAGACAGTGTTCTCCTAAGGACTACTGCAACTGTAGTAGTTCCCCTTAAACCTGTTGCCCGACCTGTGCACAGCAGCACTTCTCACAAACACAGGGGCAAGCTCACACATGTGATCTCCCAGGCAGACGTGTGCTGCAGCTGCAGCTTTAACCAACAGAAAAAATGCACCTGGTGGCAAGTTTTGAATTTGAGACCCTGCTTCCATTTGTTGAATGAGGTACAACTGTTATGTCCTTTTATGACTATAGGTATTTAAGTGGATTGTACAACCTGGGCTATATGGGGACAGCGATAAAGAATATTCAGGCATTCCAGTGGGATGCTTGACCTTCCTCACTGGTGTCTTGTCCTTTTTTTCTTCAGTTGCAGAGGTGGAAGAGTTTTTCCAGTGTGTACCTGGTACAGTATCCTGCAGTATAACTTAAGGAACATAAATGTTAATATTCTATTCATCTACTTTATAGTTGAGTTTGGCATCTCATATTAGTAGTGTCCCTTTATGCCAGAGGTAGGTGGAACCTCTTTGAAGCCGAGGGCTGAAATCACCATAGAAGACAGATTGGGACTCCCCCAGGTTGGATGTGGCTCCTAGATAAGGTTGCATACCCTTCCTTTATGGCAAAGTAGGCTTTCACCAAAGCCTCCATCACCAAGGGTGGGTCTACATTACAGTTTCTTCCATTAATCAGGGAGGTGTGTTATGGTATTTATGCAAAATGCATTTACCACTTTTGGGACATATGCGAATGGATACAGTATTGTTATGTTGAAAGCATTACTATGATCTTGTGTCCCACATAGATACAGTTGCAGGAGATAGGGGAAATGGCCCTTTAAAAGCAAAGCTGGTGTTTTGCATTTTATGTATGTGAAGGAGCAAATGAGCAGGGATCATTTAAAAAAAGAAACAGCTTCCTCTGCCCCCTCACTCCCCCCAAAATGGAGGTGGGGATAGGGAGCGAAAAGGAGGGGACTGTGGTACTGCTGCCTCTCATGAGGTGAAGGCAGCAGGATAGTGCCCCCATTTCAATCCAGTGAAAAGCTATTCCTAAAAACATGTGCAGGCCTGATCCTATGCTGACTTTCCCTAAAATGAGCACCAAAGATAATGTGATTTAGTTCTGAGTAAGGCCATTGAGGGTGATGTGATTTACCTTTGAACAGACATGCATTTTGGCTTCTTTTCAGCTAGTTGTTGCAGGGGACATTCTCAAATTTATTTTTTCAAGGGGAGGAAGGAAACAGCATTGTATTTACTCTCCAGCCCACTGAGCAAGGTAGAGAGAAGCCGAACAACTGAAGGTTTTCTGCCTTTTCCTTGAAGCCTTGAAAGAACATTTGCTTTCCCCACTAACAGCCCA